TCTGGAGTCCATTGTATGTATCCTCTAAGTCTTCCTACCAATATGATCGAGTTGCGAAAACAAGGTTAAACAATTTCAATAAAATACTGTTAGTGTGTAAGTGCCTTGAATCGTAGCCATTATTTCAGAACATGTCCTAGTTACTTTTGGAAATGATAAGAATATATACATTTATTATAGTTTCTTGTATTATAAAATTATCATGCTAATATTTTCAATCCGTATCCAATTGACTCATTCTCGGATGAATATTTGTACCATATATAGTTTTACGTTCTGTTATGCTCTTTTCACAGATAAATGATTAGTAGATCTTAAAATATTCTATATTGCAATACGGCGAGATTTAACTACTCTAAATAATTTTTTGCGCATCTCGAATTAACCCCTTGTATTAATCATATATTTGCACTTTCAGTACCCTTATATCTGTAATGGATCTTTTTTCAAAAATTCCTAATATCAAGTCAATCTTTAAAAAAGCAGAATTTAAAGCCCTTGTTTTAGAGGTAAGGCCATTATTTTGATTTTTACCGTTCTAAGTTATTAGCCCACAGAAAACCTGAAATTCAGCAATCCGCTTTAAAATGTATATTGGCCTATAAAAACACGGTTATTCAACTATACTCGTAAGCATATCTACTAATTGTTTTCTTATAAATTTCTGCACTTTGTTTGGCACTTAACTGTTTCGTAAATTGTTTCTAGGCCTCAATTACGCGATCTCATCGATCCGAGATATTTTCGTGATATTGTTAGAACATTTAAGCTTGATTCTGCATTGAATGAAGAAACACATCGTTCTGAAATCGCACCGCTTCTTATTCGGTAATCATTTTTTTACCATTACATTCTTAATTCACAAACTTCTCATCCAAATAATTTTCATCCTGGAAATATCTATTTTTTCATATCTTGTTTGAAATAAAAAATTTATCATATGCGATTGTATGGCTATTGCAGGACTATTTTATTCTTAATTAGGCTAACAAGGCTAAACATCTCTAGTCGGCTTTGGAATTGATCTACTTTCGGCAAAATTTTATACTTTCTTGATAGTACTAAATCCTAATGAATCATTCAATGTTATTCAACTGTTGGGCTATAGATTCAGGCTAATTCTCCTCAAAATTTCCACTCCTTCAGTTATACCCATTTATTTTGGATAAATAATCTGCGAACTCTTGTGATCTTATAAAAATATTGTATATTCAGGTGATACTTGAAATTCTGATTGGCCTAAGCTTTATCATTTATCCAATTGCTAAGGTTATAATGGCCCCGATTAATTATTTGATACAGTTTTTTATTATATGAATTCGCATTTTAGGGTACTTTTTGGGAGATTACAACTCGCTAATGGGCAACATGCAAATGCCATCCTCAGCAATCTGGCCATCTGTACAGACTCTGAACTTGATATCCTTCTGGAGCTTCTTATTAGTCCCCTCTTGCCTAGCGCGTCAGGATGCAAAATTATTCCCACTGATCATGCCCTCGACCTCTCGGATTTCATCTCTCAGTTGAGAGTAGATGTGAAAAATGCAAAACAGATAGCTTTGTTTCTTCCACATAATCAATTAACCACTAAGTCGATTCCGGCCTCGCTTGGATTCGGAGATACTTTGCTTTCTTGGTCTCGTCTTCATGCGTAAGTAAATAATTATTG